TGATTTCCTTTTATTTACACCATCTCCAAAAAAATACCCACAGGTGAAAACTCTTATGTACAAAAAATATTTACAAAAATTATTTACAAAAAAGACAGAGGAAAAACTATTTACAAACCGCAATTCAAATACCAGGACCAACATACGTCTGCTCAACCAGGAGGCACACCAACAAGTGAGCTGAGCTCCTTTAAATACCCCTTGGCCCCTCCTCCGGACAAACCAATCAAAACAATCTAGGGGTTTTTCAAGATATCAGCTATTATATCATAACTAATATTTCTACATACACAAAATAATACAAAGCAATTACTGTTGCTCACACCCTCCACATGGCTGAGGCAATATTAAACCCAAACACAATATTTTTCCTATAAATCAATTTGTTCCCGGACTTTGGTTTCTCCCTGGATCACCTGACCCGCGGAGGCACGTCACCTAGTGCTACTTAACAGGTGACCCGGAACTGCCTCTGTTCAGTCCATGAAGCGGAGACAGAAGGTGAGTGTGTATGTGTGTGCGTGTACATGTAAGCGAGACCCGTGTAGGTGTTTGAGTGTGCACCCTCTAACACCAACCACGGGGACGCAAGAGTCCAATTATTGTTTTTAAATGTTCATTTTGACTCCCGTCCGTCTGTCACTCCAGCCGCGAGTGACCACGCCATTCCCCCACGTCGGCGCCGAGCGACGAGGGAGAGAAGGCGTCCAGCCGCGAGAGAGAGCGTGCGTCCAGCCGCGAGAGAGAGAGCGGCCAGCCGCGAGGGAGAGAGCGGCCAGCCGCGATGAGGACGGCGTTAGTGGCGCCCCGCCACATTACCCCTCTCCTCCCCGAGGTTGGCGATGTGCGGCAACCTTGACAGATAGTCTGCCACAACATTGCTCTTGCCCGGCCGATGGTGGATCCGGAATCTGAATGGTTGGAGGGAGAGGTACCAGCGGGTGAGACGACTGTTGTGATCCTTCATCGAATGAATCCACGTCAGCGCCCGATGGTCAGTCTCCAAGTCGAACTCCCTCCCCAGCAGGTAGTATCTCATACTCTCCAGGGCCCATTTGATCGCCAGGCCTTCCTTCTCCACCGTGGAGTACCTGGTCTCCCGTGGCAGCAGCTTGCGGCTCAGGTACAGCACTGGTCGCTCCTCCCCAGGTTCACCTTGGGCCAGGACTGCCCCCAGTCCCACAGCTGAAGCGTCCGTCTGGACCAGGAACCGCTGTCTGAAGTCAGGGCTTCTCAAAACTGGCGAAGAGCACAAGCAGGCTTTGAGAGCGTGGAAGGCCGTCTCGCAGTCATTGTTCCAGATGACAGGGTTTCTCTGGTCCTTCGCTGTCAGAGCTGTCAGAGGCGCTGCGATGGTGGCAAACTGTGGGACGAACCTTCTGTACCAGCCGGCCAAACCCAAGAAGGACCTCACCTCCTTCTTGGTTCGAGGGCGTGGGCAGCTGCGGATGGCCTCCACCTTGTCCACCTGCGGCCGGACCTCCCCTCGTCCCAGCCGGTACCCCAGGTACTCTGTCTCCTCCTTAGCCCACTGGCATTTGGCTGGATTCAGTGTCAGGCCTGCCTGCTGGATCTGGCCCAGGACTCGCTCCAGGTGATGCAGGTGCTGCTCCCAGGTGTCACTGAAGATGACCACATCATCCAGGTAGGCAGCACTGCAGTCCTCACACCCCCGTAGAACCTGGTCCATCAGTCTCTGGAAGGTGGCGGGTGCCCCATGCAGGCCAAAGGGCATCACCGTGAACTGGAAGAGGCCGGAAGGTGTCTGGAACGCTGTGTAGGGACGACTGGATGCTTCCAAGGGTACCTGCCAGTAGCCCTTACAGAGGTCCAGGGTGGTGATGAACCTGGCCCGGCCAATCCTCTCCAGCAGCTCGTCGATCCGTGGCATCGGGTAGGCGTCAAACTCCGACATTGCGTTCAGCTTCCTGAAGTCGATGCAGATGCGGAGGGAACCGTCCTTCTTCACCACAATGACCACTGGGCTGCACCACTCGGACTGCGACGGTTCGATCACCCCCAGGCGCTGCATCTCTTCCACCTCCTTCAGGAGCTTGGCCACCAGATGTTGTGGCACCCGGTAACTCCTCTGGCGAACTGGCCCCTTGTCTTTCAGGTGGACCACGTGCTCGATGAGGCCGGTCCTCCCCGGGCTGGCAGCGAAGAGCTTGGAGACCCTCTCGAACACCTGGCACAGCTGGCTGGACTGGACAGCAGAGAGATGGCCCAGAGCAGGTTCAGCATACTGGTGGCGGTCGGCGAGGATACACTCCTCCTCCCCTTCACTGTCCCCCTCCATCACCAATAGGGCCGCCACAGGGCCCTGAGCTGGAGCCTCCTTCCACTCCTTCAGCAGGTTGATGTGGTAGACCTGCTTTGCCCTTTTCTTGTCCGGGTGGTGGATCTCATAGGTCACAGGGCCCATCTTCCGGAGGACAGTGTACGGGCCCTGCCACTTGGCAAGCAGCTTGCTGTTGGAGGATGGGAGGAGGAGTAGGACCTTCTGGCCGGGCTGGAACTCTCTGCGTCTGGCATGTTGGTCGTACCACGCCTTCTGGGCCTGCTGGGCTTCGCGCAGGTTGACCTCGGCCTCCTCCCGGTACTTTGCCAGCCGGTCCCTCATCTCCAACACGAATTGGACCACACTGCGGTCACTGGTGCCTGTTGCAGGAGCCTCCCACGTCTTTAGAAGCAGATCCAATGGCCCCTGTACCTCCCAGCCATACAGTAGTTCAAACGGGGAGAACCCCGTGGAGGCTTGGGGAACCTCTCGGTAGGCGAAAAGCAGGAAGGGTAACCACTGGTCCCAGTCTTGCCCGGTGTCAGACACAAATTTCTGCAGCATCTTCTTGAGGGTTTGGTTGAAACGCTCAACCAAGCCATCTGTCTGAGGGTGGTATGGGGTGGTCTTGATTGTGGAGACCCCCAACTGTCGGTGGAAGAGCTGCAGGAGTCTGGAGGTGAAATTAGTCCCCTGGTCTGTGATGATCTCGTCTGGAATACCCACCCTGGAGAACAGCTGGACCAGGCAACGCAACACAGCCGGAGCAGTGACCGTGCGCAGGGGAAAAGCCTCAGGGAAACGAGTGGCATAATCACAGACCACCAGGATGTACTGGTGCCCTCCGCTGCTCCTCACCAATGGGCCAACAATGTCCATGGCTATCCGCCTAAATGGAGTGGAGATCACGGGTAGTGGTTGGAGGTAGGCACGGTCTGATTGGCGGACAAAGCAAGTCTTCTGACAGGTGGGACAGGTTTTACAAAATGTTTGTACATCCGCATACATGGAAGGCCAGAAGAACCTTGCAGATATCCGCAGGTAGGTTTTGTTGCGACCAAGATGACCAGCCCAAGGCAAGGTGTGTGCCAGGTGCATGATCATCTGCCGACATGACACAGGAACCACCAGGCGTCTGACCTCATCTGTCATCGCATAGAGCACATTATTGTCCACAACAAACCAGTCTTTGTCCTTCTTTGCTAGGTCCTGTCCCCAAACCACCTTGGCGAACAGGGGCGTCAGAGTTGTGTCCTCCCTTTGTAAGGCCCCAATGTCCTCTGGCACATTCCATCTGTCCTTTGCCAGCCCCTTTTTCGGTCTGGCTCCTGGGATTTCAGCCCCTTCTCAAACCGCCGCTGACGGCGGGACTTTCTGGGGCCCTTTGTGCCCCCCTCAAACAAACCACTGTCCAGGGTTGAAAAAAGTTCTGGCTCAGGGCCCTTTTCCTGCCCTGGGCCGGTTGCAATCCCCGCTCTGGCCTGGGCACGGGTGATCACCAGCCCAGACAACCCTTTCCCCAGGTCACTGGCTGTGGGTCCTGCCTCCAGCAGCACGTCCAGTAGCACTGGGAAGTCCCAACCCAGGATCGCAGCCACAGGCAACCTATCCACCACCCCCACAGTCAGCAGATAAGGCTGCTCGTCCACTACCACTGTCACCTCAGCTGTGGGGTAGGAATGGCTGTCCCCGTGTGCGCACAGAATGTCTTCCTGTCTGCTATAATCCACACTGCCCGTTGGCACCAGCTCCCTTCGCACCAGCGTCAGGAAGCTCCCAGAGTCAACCAAAGCAGTCACACATTCCCCATTTATGGTTATTTCCTTGAATCTTGGTTGCCGTCCCCCAGCACTTGCAACCTCCGCTCGGGGAGTGTAGCAGGCACTGCTAAGCTTGGCTTTTCTGATGGGGCACAGAGCAGCCTTGTGTCCTGCTTGCTGGCAGTAAAAACAAATAAGCTCCTTACCAGGGCTGCGCTGGCGAGGTGCGGACCGAGGTTCTCCTGTTGGATGCTGGCTGGCTCTGGCCGCTGGTCTGGGCTGTGATGAAACCTGCCGACTGGGTCCACCCTGGTTGACTGTCGGGCCTCCCCTCCGTGCGTTAAGGTACTGCAGTGCCAGCTTCCCTGCAGCTAGCCCATCCGTCGGCTCATGCTCCTTCACCCAGGTGCGGATGTCAGCCGGGAAGACCCTCAGCAGCTGCTCCAATATGACCTGCTCCCCGATCTGCTCCTTTGTATGCTGCTCTGGCCGGACCCATCGACGGTAGAGACCCTTTAAGCGGTGGTAAGTCTCTGTGGGGTTCTCTCCTGGTGGGACAGCCATGGACCGGAACTGCTGGCGATAAGTCTCCGGGGAGATGTCAAATTTCATCAGGAGCGCTGCCTTCAGGTCCGGGTAGGAGTGAGCCAGGTCCTCATCCATCGCTGTGTAAGCCTCCAGCGCCTTTCCAGTTAGCAGAGGCACCAGGCGACAGGCCCACTCACTGTCTGGCCAACCCCACGTTCTGGCAATGCGCTCGAAGCGGAGCAGGTAATTTTCAATGTCCTCTCCCGCCAGATACTGAGGGATCTTGGGGTCACCCCAGGGTCGGCTCTCAGACCTCGGAGGTTCTGCCAGGCTACTTGCCCCAATCCTTGGTGCCTCCACGGGAGAACTGCGTCGTGGCCGAGGAGCTGGAGTTGGTAACTCAAGACGGAGGCTCATAGTTGATCCAGCAGATGGCGGAGTGGTTCTTGGTGCTGGACTTGGTGTTACCGGCCTCCGTTCTGCCTCAGGCTGCTGCAGTGGGACTGGTAAGGCAGCTCGAAGCCCTCTGAGCTCTGCAAGCAAGCCCTCCTCTCTCCTCTGCTGCCCCTCCAGGAAAGTTCTCATCACTGTAAGCAGCTCCGCCCCAGCACCTGAAGTTCCCGGGTCTGCCTGCCAGGAAGGCCCAGCAGCACCCTCTTCATCCTCATCCTCTGTGGCCCAGGCTGCTTCCTCCACAGCTTCTTCCACTTTTTGTGACCGCAGTCCGGTCCGTCTTCCTGTGAACCGGATGCGTCCCCTTCGACTGGCCATCCCACTTCTGACACCAAATGTCGCGGGTTCAGTTTCTTTAAGTTCTTTTTCGGTTGTGGAGGGAAAGATGATGGCACAGTCGAGAACCGAGTACGGTGATTTCCTTTTATTTACACCATCTCCAAAAAAATACCCACAGGTGAAAACTCTTATGTACAAAAAATATTTACAAAAATTATTTACAAAAAAGACAGAGGAAAAACTATTTACAAACCGCAATTCAAATACCAGGACCAACATACGTCTGCTCAACCAGGAGGCACACCAACAAGTGAGCTGAGCGCCTTTAAATACCCCTTGGCCCCTCCTCCGGACAAACCAATCAAAACAATCTAGGGGTTTTTCAAGATATCAGCTATTATATCATAACTAATATTTCTACATACACAAAATAATACAAAGCAATTACTGTTGCTCACACCCTCCACATGGCTGAGGCAATATTAAACCCAAACACAATATTTTTCCTATAAATCAATTTGTTCCCGGACTTTGGTTTCTCCCTGGATCACCTGACCCGCGGAGGCACGTCACCTAGTGCTACTTAACAGGTGACCCGGAACTGCCTCTGTTCAGTCCATGAAGCGGAGACAGAAGGTGAGTGTGTATGTGTGTGCGTGTACATGTAAGCGAGACCCGTGTAGGTGTTTGAGTGTGCACCCTCTAACACCAACCACGGGGACGCAAGAGTCCAATTATTGTTTTTAAATGTTCATTTTGACTCCCGTCCGTCTGTCACTCCAGCCGCGAGTGACCACGCCATTCCCCCACGTCGGCGCCGAGCGACGAGGGAGAGAAGGCGTCCAGCCGCGAGAGAGAGCGTGCGTCCAGCCGCGAGAGAGAGAGCGGCCAGCCGCGAGGGAGAGAGCGGCCAGCCGCGATGAGGACGGCGTTAGTGGCGCCCCGCCACAAGGACAGTCGTTGGTTTGTAATTCTGCACTCGTATTTATATATAAATAATTTTATTTCTCCTGTACTCAACCAGATGATCAGATGCGACCTTGAATGCAGCTCCAGCTGAGTTTGATCGGTTTAGTCATCAATGACAAATGCGAGTGTTTAAGTAACTTTTAAAAACAGACTCTGACTTTTCTGTCTTCAGTCTGACTTCTATTCAGAAAAAAAAAAGAAAATACAGAGTTTCTCCCCCCTCCTACGCACACGTAGCACACAGGCGAGCCTTCCTCTCAGGGGAGCGTCAGGAGCCAACCTGAGGAAAGGCAGGAAATCACTACTTGAAGTGGAAGCAGACGAGGCAGCTGGAGGGAACGTGGTGCCACCTAAAACTCTAAATTACAACACTTCATCACTCCTGGGACACACTGAGCACCACAAACTGATGAACGCTAACGCTGTTAGAGTATCCGCAGGTGGATTTTTCCCTTCACCTCAGAGTCAAAAAGCACAGCATTAACCTGGATCTCCTTTTTTTTCAGAGCAAAGATAAACCACATCCTACTGAGACCACATTTTCATTTCCGAAGGTCTGCAGATAATTTCTGTAAGAGCTTCCAGTTCTGCCTCACCGCGGCAGTGATGGCTCCATTAACGCCGGCGGGTCCATTTAACCTAGTTACCGCTCAAACAGCAAATGAACGTCTCACTTCAGTGTTCAAGAGGACCTTGCATCACATTTCAGGGCTGCCTGAGATTAATGGCGTCGGTCTGAACGAGGTGAAACCCACCTATGTTTCAAAGAGGGTCTAATCCAGAACCCCCAACATGCAACCAACACCGCATGGTTCTCCAGACGGTCTCTTTCAAGGACGTATCTCACGGTAAAGGCGCTCAGGGCTAATGGAGCTTGAATGTGGACTGTTCCAACAGAGCGCGCTCCTCACAGCGGAGCATGGCAGGTCCTGATTACCGAGGTGACAGTCTGGACATCCTGAAGAATTACTGTGATTGTTCTGCTGGAGTCAGAGGAAAGGGGAGGGCCTGCCAGCGGATAAATCACTCTTTATCTCGTCTATCAGATGATTCCATAGCGCAGAGAGCAATAACAGTTTCTCCTGGAGGACCTTGAATAGAGTGAGCTCCACTTACACAACTTTGAGTACATCTCTTTAGTAAAAGCCGGTAAAAGAGAGTGGATTAGATTGGCGCTCTGACACCTACGCAAGTTTTCTTCACCGTCTGAATTAGCCTTCATTCTGCTGAATACTCAGCATCCTTCACTCCCGAGTTGAAGAGATGTTTTTGCTTTTGGATTTCCATCAATGCAGAACAAAGTTAATGTTTACAACTCAAAGGACAATCTATTCTGAACCCTCAGCGTCTGGCTCACATTTCTCTGCAGTGAGCAGGTTCTTCATTTCTATTTTACGCTTCTTCTCTGCAGATCAATCACCCTCCTCCTCTCCTCTCCTCTCAGACATTACTGGGACAACAGACAAAGAGGCATCAATTCAATGTGAGAAAATGTCGGCGCAACAAAATAATACACTCAGAGAGAAATCCTTAGATATTTATAAGCCCACCTGAAAAGAGGTGCAGTCTGACAGGAATTTTATATTATTTTTCTCCATCGTTATTTATGTAATGATATAAATACAGAAGATGGATCAGACGTGGTTTTCTACCTCCATGGTGAACTTTGAAAACATTTGACCTGTTGACCCCAGGCCTGACTCTGCACACTGCGATGGTTTTTTGGTGTAGTGAACTAACATTGTTTCTGTTTCTAACTCCCTGTCTCCCCTTCATCTGATCTGCCATGCCAGCTGGGCAAAAATAAACGCCATACATTCCAACTAATAGGGTCTCTGGACTCCTGAGCTGAATAAGACTACAAACATGGCTGTCTATCTGTAGTTTTTTCTGCAGTCAGGGTAAAGTAAGGGGGCATGTCCATCTCTGAGTTGACTTTACTTTCTACAATACTGCTTCAACACTAACGAGTTTAAATAACGGTAACTAACTTCAGCTGTCAACGTCAGCTGACTGCATTTACGCCCTCTGATTGGTCGAGATGTCCTTTACAATGGTGGCAGCTGAGTTTAGAATTGTTAGCAACAAAAATGGTCAGTTTCACTTAAATGAATGCATGTATCATCACAATTTATAATCTTTTTTAATGTGTAAGAGTTAGGCAATCTCTGAAAATACATCAGTTTTCTCTAAAAAGCCTTGAAGTTGCAGAAGCACACAGATTATCACTGAAAAGTTCAAGATCTCAGGAAGCTATTGGCTTTCAGAGCTACTTTGTTCTGTTTCTTTTTAAGAGCTGACATAATGCACACTGCACTTGCAAGATTCATATACGATGCCATAGACCTAAGGGGTTTTAAACATGAATATAAAACCCACACACTTAACAAAGAAACTGTTTCTCATGGACAGAAAGCTATGCTAAGTGTAGCTTTGGGCAGCTATGGCGCTCAGCTACTAGCTGCTAGTGCTGTTAGCCACCTGGGTCAGGCTCTGTGTACTGGGGAAGTGTTGGAGTTTGGAGCTGCAAACTGCTGGAAAACCAAAGGACTGGGGCATGATCGGTAGTTTAGCTAATTTAGCAACAGATGGTTAAATCTTTCCCCTTCTTCCTTGACAGTCATAGATAGACTAAAGAAGAGCTAACTAACATAGGTCTCACCCTGTGTAAGTAACTCAAACAGCAGTGGATGGTACCCAGGACTCACAGTGTCCTCTTCGGCTGGTAGCTCTGTCAGTTTCACGATTCAGGTCTTCCTCAGTGTGTATATGAGAGGATCTGGAATGAGCTCTTTGCTGTGTTGAGCCTTGAAGTCCTGAAGGACACATTGTAAACCCTCGCTGCCTTGTGAAGCAGGTCATGCGTGCTCCCTGATACTCTCTCTCTTTCATTTTTTTCATCCTGTTTGTGATGGCGGGGATTACAAATGTCTCTTTTTGTTTGCGAGCGGCAGAATGTCATTCTTTTGTTCCTCCGTCTGACATCACCTCTACCTTATTATTTCAGCAGGTGCCTTGTCATTTACCTGGACACTTCAAAGAGCGATGCATAGTCAACTCTCTCTCTGAGACGAGGTCAAACACATACAGAGCAGGGCCCACCACTCTTTTTATTACCATAAATGTCAGTAGTTCTCTTCATCCTCCCCACACTTTTATTACACTGCTGCAAATGTCAAATGTATTTGCAAAAGTCATAACACCGTGATGGCCCCGAGGCTCAGGAAAGTGCAATATCACTGAGAATATGACTTTATTTATTATTTTACCTCCTCTGTTGGACTTCAGAAAGCCTTAGTCCATGAATATTCAGGCCTGAATACAAATTAAGTGCAGAGCTTTTATTAGAACTTATCAGCTGATGATAGGACGTGAGTCTACAGACCAAAGAATTAAACTGTTAAAGAGAGGGTGAGTAAACGTTATTATGTCTAAAATGTACAATGTTGGGCTATTGGGGTAGCAGAAGTAACCTCTCCCCCTCAAACATTAGATCAGGACATTGGTTCCTAACCTTTCTTTGGCTCATGGCCCAAACTCTGGCAATCCTTGATACTCAAAACATTAACAACTTTGTTAACTTGCAATTTCCAATCATGTCACAGTCTATACTGTATCACATTTAGGCTATTTCATTTCATATTTAGTGAAGATATCTCTAGTCAGAAGAGCTTATAGCAGCCAAATGACATTCATAAGCACCTGCAGCATTGCTCAACAGTCCACTTCATGAAGAAAACAATGCAAAAGTTGCTTCATTAAAAGAGTCTGTTGCATGTTTAATGCATTATCGTGGTCTCCCTAAACTCACCATGTTGGGGACAGTTTGCATACCTTGTTGCAGACGTGTCTAGCCATCAGGGTGCTTAACAGCTCTAAAAAACAAAACATCTAGTAGTGAATGCTATTTTGACATCATGCATGCCATAGCAGAGTGACTGGTTGTCTGTCTCTCTCTGTGGCCCTGCAATTGACTGGAGACCGATTCAGGGTGTACCCTGCCTCTTGTCCGGCAACAGCTGGGATAGGCTCCAGCCCACCCGTGACCCCAAAAGGGATAGCAGTTTAGAAAATGGATGGATGGATGGCATGCCATAGCATTAAATCTGATCCGGCATAATTGGTTTTCAGGCGATGAAAATGGTTTAATCAGGTCCTTAACAGCACCGGGTTTCAATCTCCATCCATGCAGCTCACCTGGACAATGTCAGGGAACCAACATCATTCCAAGTCTGCTTGTGTGAAAGTAGTTTCACTTTGATCATCTTTGAGCTCTCACTCTGTGGTCATCATGCAGACCTCCACGGTAACTGCTCTGACATGTTAACGCACAGGATCGTGGCCTGCAGGGGTAGAGTTGGCATGCAGGTCTCACAGGAGCTTTACATCTCTTCCCGCTGGAATCACTCTCAGTGCTGCATAAGCTAAGGCCTCATCTCTCCTCATGAATAATAATCACTCCATATATTGAATTTGTTTCCTCGACAATTTTTCTGCCGCTTTTCATGTTGGCAGCAGCTGCTCACATCTCAGGTAGGGTGGGCAGGGAGGCTTATTAAAGAGCTCACCTGTGCAAGAGCACTGTCAGAACTCCCTCTGATGGTGTCTGGTGTTGTCACTGGGTGAGGGGGAAAGGTCATTGAAGGTGTGAGCTTGTGGTCAAAACAGACTGCTGTGCTCCCTCACTGTCACAGCAGCATCCATATGTGCATGGCTAGGTATAGATAGTCTTTCTGCACTCAAATATATTTGACAGATGGATGCATGTGTCCAATTTGGGCAGTGAAGATGAGAATTTAAAAATAAATAATACGGATGACTCCACATTTGTTGCTGTCATGAGTGTTTCTGGCTGCAGGGCAGTGTCTGTATATTTAAAACTGTTTCCAACTAGTTCAAGCCATCAACATCATTTTGCTTTGTACTTAATGGTGCCCTTATTGAAGCCATCCAATTATCCTGCCTCGCAAAAAAGGGTCGTGACACATCACAAAATGCAGTCAGCAGCAGCAACCAAGGAAGTAACTATAGTGGACAGAAGACAGGAGCATCCATAACACTGTTGTTTTCAACTATATACAGTAAATATGTATGTGAGGGCCCGGCAGTAGTGATGGGCATGGTAGTTCTTTTAGACATACTGAATCACTAGAATCAGTTCACTAAAAAGATTCTTTCAAAAGATTTGTTCAAAAGATTTGTTCACCAAATCACAGAATCCCTTTACGCTTGGCGGGAGAGGCCTGCGACTCCTGAACTGATACACAGCTGAACGTTTGAGGATTCAGTTCAATTCATAGTTTCTGGGACTGGGAAACAAGAAATAGATAGATAGATAGATAGATAGATAGATAGATAGATAGATAGATAGATAGATATGCTGTTTCTCACTTCGGCTCAACTGAAGTAAGAAACGAACGAATCACTTGAGGAAGCGATTTGGTTCAGTAAGTTCACTGAAAAGATTTGGTTGTTTTGAACGAATCGTTCGCGAATGACTCATCATTACCCTGCAGTACACGCTGCATGTTTCTGCAGCTTTAAGGGGCTTTTCTATCCAACAAAGAAGATATGATGTGATGTGCTAAAAATAACCTTTTGCAGAGACCCTCTCATTTTAATCAGTGTTACAGCAATAAAACACACCAAACCTGCAATTTGTAGTCTTTTCACATGATGGAGCTTCGGTTAAACTGGTCACGTCACTTTGGCCTTGTCCTCACATAACAGTCCTTTTTTTTAATGAAAGGTTTTCCTCTGTTTTTAAAGGATATTCT